AAAGCCACCGGGCTGGTAGAGGGAGCCACTCCAAATCACCTTGTCAGCACTGGCCTTCTCAGCCCCTGTGGTTAGGAGGCCTGAGGGCCTCATAGGGGGCCTTGAAAATGCCTAGGAGCCAGCTTGCTCAGCCACCCCTCAAGTCACTCAATGGTAAGAGTAATCAGGGAAGACACCCCCAGAGTGCGAATGAAGGAACAAAAGCATATTGTTCATTCTATCCTGTTCATTCCCCAAGTCCTCAAACTCTTTTGAGCACTCACCAATGTGCCAGGGTGCAGAGACCAGGTTTTTAGGTCCAGGTTTTATTGAAATAATGAAGCACAGGCTCCCTCTACCTTCCAAGCTAGGACCACTCCTGCCTATCCTGGGGTGAGCACAGTACCACTGGGGTTCCTTTCACTCTAAATGCCCCTCCTCCACTCCACTTCATTGAGGAGTCCTCCCTGACCTTGCCCATCCTTCAAAACAGGGGTTGTACAGACAGCATCCTGACTGGGGAAAACCAAGGTGCAAACGGGACAGTTGCTTAGTGAGTATGTGTTACACACTGGCTGCTACCCATCTCAACCCCATACACAAGAAACCTTGAATTCCAGGAATGCAAATCAAGATCACAAAGTTTACCATTTTACACTCACTCAATCAGTAAAATGGAGACATCTGAGCATAGGAGTTCTGATGGGGGTGTGGAGGAAGGAGGACATCGCCTCCTGCTGGGGACACATAAGGGTCCGATCAATTTGGAAAACACTCCTAGTAAAGGTGAATGCAAATGTGTCCCCTAACCCAGCAATTCCACTCCCAGCTCTGTGCCCCAGAGACTATGCCTCAGGAGACAGGACAGACATGTTCACAGCAGAACTGTTTGTAAGAGCAAAAAGGAAAACAACTTACATGCCCATCAACAGAAGAACAGAAAATACACTGTGTTGTGTCCAAACGACAGACCACTGTGTATTCATGTGAACGTAAATGAACGTCTATTATTTGCAATAATAGAGATGAGGCTTATACATACACGTACAGTTTCATGTTCTTTTTACAAAGCTGAAAAATAACTAAAGCTGAACAATTTCTATGTATCAAAATATGATTTTAAAATGGCAAGGAAATGCTAAATGGATAATTTAGGGTAGTGGGTGCCTCAGAGAAAGAAGCCAATGGATAAGGTGAGGAGAAGAACACAGGAAGATGTGCTCTGTTGTGAAAGTGCTAATGTTCAGCTCTGCCTGGTGTGGCTCAGTGGGTGAGCACTGGCCTGCATATCAAAGGGCCACTAGTTCGATTTCCAGTGAGGGCACATGCCTGGGTTGCAGGCCAGATCCCCTGTAGGGGATGCACAAGAGGTAACCACACATTGATATTTCTCTCCCTCTCTTTCACTGTCCCTTCCCCTCTGTCTAAAAATAAATAAATAAAATCTTTTTTTATAAAATGTGCTAACGTTCAGGTTGGGGAGTAAGGTCATGGTACTCATTGTATTATTATTCTTAATACTAAATACATTGGTTAGTTAATTAGCAGGTCATACCCAGAACAGTGAATAAGACCCCCAGGGCAGAAGCTAGGAGGAAGGCATTCTAGCCTGAGCACCATGCTTGTTATCAGGGACTTTAACTAAGTCATTCCTCCTCTGTGGCTTCGTTTTCTAGCTATCCAATCAAATCTCTGTACCACCTACAAGGGTAAGACTGAGAACACCTCATTGATAGAAACTATGAGTAGCAAGCATTTCTAGAGAGCTTACTGTGTGCCAGGTACTGCCCTACATGTCTCACATATATTAACATACTTAACCCTCATGATACCCCTAGAGTTAACCACTGCTGTTATCCTCACTTTATCAATAAGGACACTGAAATCCAGAGATGTGAAGTAACTTGCCCAAAATCATAGAGTTAGGCAGTATTGAGCTAAAATTTAAACCTGGGCATCTGGCTCCAGGGTCCACCCTCAACATTTCACTATAAAGTGATCTGGAAGGAACTGAACACACGAGGAGAAGGCTGTTGTCAGCACAGCTCTACAAGGCCATTGCACTCAAGGTGTTCACTCAGTCATTTATTCAACACAGAAACAGAGGTCGGCATCAAAGATGCCTTCAGTGCATTTGGAAATGAACTCGCCCCCCCACACTTTCTCTAAAGAACTGTCCCTGATTCTGGAATCCTCTGCCTTCTGTGTCTCTGCCACATCTGCTACTACCTCAGGACCTACCAGGTCTCTCTCTTCCTGGAGGACCTGTGACCATCTCAGCCCCCCAAGAACAAATCCCATTTTCTCTGTCTGTGTGAGAACACCCTGCCTTGGTTCTCCTCAATCCCCGCCTGAGGCATCCTTGATGTTACCCAGCTCTGTCCATCTGTATAGGCTGGGGACACTGTGTCCCCTCCAAATAGTCCTTGCCACCAGCTAACAGCTGCTCCTTGGGTCCTCCCAATGTCTTCCCCATTCCCCAGTAAGGGGAGGTCAGGGGAAGAGCACACAATTGCCCACAGTACTCAAGGCAATCCATGGGAGCCATAGAGGGGCCTAGCCTGAAGCCGAGCAAGCAGCTCTGCCAGGCAGTGTAGAATAAATGCACGAATGAATGGAATGGGTTGGTATGATATTAGATGCAAACCAACCTAATTCTACACTGTGGGTACCTGGAGGAGGATCAATGACTTGGAGCAGTCAGGGAGGCCTCCTAGAGGAGGGGCCAGGAGAGGGAAAGGAGGAGAAGACCTCTGGGTAGGGATGCTGGATCAAGCCAGGTGATGGGTGGATATGCAGAAGGATTTACTGGTGGGAACAGAGAACCACTGGGAGGAAGGGTCTCTGAGGCTGGAAGGCTGCCATCCTCCCATAGATGTGCCACACACGGAACAGACAGACCAAGAGACCCTGGCCAGGAAACCAAGGCTCTGACCCTGGAACCACCACCACCTCCTGCCTCACCCAGACCCTTCCCTAACTCCACGTGACCCACTTCCTCACCCTCCGTCAGACACTGCTTCATGCCTCCATAGGTCCCCTACGCAAATCACTGGGCAGCCTCACTTCTCAACAGGAACGCAGCCCCAGCTTGGACTGTCATCTTCCAAACATTTACTTGGAACCTACTCCTGGGAAGCAGCACCATCACTGGTACCAGGGATCCTGCCTGGCTTTATGGTGAACACCACCCTTATGAGAGGGTGTGTGTACGTGTGTGTCTCTCTGGAATTCAGGGTTTTAGAAAACCATATCTAATACAAGGAAAAATGGGTATTCAGAGGCAGGGGATGGAGGAGCTAAGTACTGGGATCAGAGAGCACTATTACAATGGGTAGAGTGGCCTCTCCAGCCCCCTCCAGTCACACAGGGGCCTTCAGCCCACAAGTCATGCATGATACCTGGGCTTAGAGCACATGCCCATCCCCTAAAACTTGGTCCCTTGGATTCAGAACCCACTCTAATTCCAGGCCCTAGGGAGCACTGCAACCATGACCAAGACCTGTCATGGGTTTAAATAGGCAGAGGGGAGGGGAGGGGGCCGAGGCTACAAGAATACAACAGAGGACCTGCCCTGGCCTTTGCTAAGCCCTCCTCCAGGAGGAGCAGCTGAGGGCAGCCTGGAGCCCCCATCTGGGTTCCAAGGATTTGGCATCTCCCTTCTGCTACCTTATTTTCTCTCTCCTGCCTCAGGCCATGGGAGAAAGCAGGAAGGGCAAGCAAGCTGTCCCAGAAGACCAGGTGCTAGCTAGCACCTTCCCAGAGGTGTTAGGACTCTGAGAGCCACCTGGCCCACACAAGGACAAAGGGTCTGGGACAGGTAACCCTTTCCTCCCTCACCAGCACTCTTCACTGGTGAGGGATGAGGGGGAAACCCCATGCTCATTGCTCCCTGAGCATGCGAGGCACCCAGTGCTGGTGTTGTTAGCATAATGACCAAAAGGGCTGAGCCCTGAGCCCAGATCCCAGAGCCCAAGGCCAGGCTGGGCTGCATGCCCTCTTGCAATCCAAGTCAAGCAGAGGAGAACTGAGGGAGGGCTGGGCTGGCAGGAAGGGGCTTGCCCAGATGGCACTGCCCCCTATGTCAAGGCCTCCTGCCCTCCCACCCTAGCAGGGCAGAGCTGTTCCTATCCTCCCCACCCCCACCCCAGGAGCTCTGAGAACAAAGAGGAGATGCTGCTGGCAGAACCAGGGCTGGATGGGGCTGGGCTTGGGGACCCAGCAAAAAACTGGAAGAGACTGCCCACTGGACCTGCCCCACCCCTCCTCAAAGGGGGAGCCACCTGAAGGGGTGCAGCTCCTAAGGGTCACATGGGGGGTGGCAAATAGAGACAGAGGGTCCCTTCTTACCTCTCTTTTCTCAGCTGATTCCCACCTCCCACCCACTCTGCCTCAGAATAAAAAGTGGGGCAGGATTGGTGAGAAGCCAGGGCTGAAGGCAGACAAAGGGGAGGCCCCTAAAGGGTTCCTGGGTCCTCCACAGACCCAACTCCTGCCCCTCCACTCTCCCTACCCCTCAATTTCCTCTTCCTCTTCACCACTGGGGTTGCTCCTTGAGAGGGGAGGGAGCTAGCCCCTAGGATGAAGCCTGTGAAGAAAACTGGCCCCTGACCTGCATTCACGGGCCTGCGGGTGCCTGGTGCTGGCTTGGATGCCTGGGGATATCTGAGCTCTGTGTAAAGAGGCAGCTGCCCAGCCCGCTGAGCAGGGGCCATACCCTCCGAGGTGCACAGGGCTCAAAATGGGAGGGGAAAGGAGGATGACCAGGACTGAGACACAGGTGCGGGCCCCTCCACAGCTCCGGGGTCCCAGCTGGTCAATTTGAAATTTGTTGGGGTGAAGGAATGGGAAAAGAAGAATCTTCATTTCTGAGGCTTGAAGAGAGTCATATCTCTGACCCCCAAGGGGGGCTCTTGGACGGCACTGGGCTGCCCCACAGCCCCGGGGGGCCCACAGCACCCTCCAGGGACACCTGCCCAGGGACTGCCCGCTCAGGGCTGGGCCGTAGCTGAGGGGCTCACCTGCATCTCGGGCCCGCCGTCCGTCCGCTTGGCTCGGTCACCAATTGCATATCTCCCAGGCCGGGCCACAGCCCCTGCCCAGCCCCCTCCTCGGTCTCCTCCTCCTCCGCCGGCACCTCCGCCGGTCGGTCCGTGAGCCTTCGCTGAGATGGCCGTCCGTCTGTCAGCCCCACTCAGGCAGGAGCCCAGCCAGAGCCGGGGCCAGGCCCGGGTCGGGGCCTGAGCTCCGGAATGAAGAAGCAGGAGGCCGTGGACCTGTGGACCCGGCGGGCGGAGGTGCTGGAGCGCTCAGGACTTGCTACACTGGCTCCACGAACCTGGTTCTGCGTCCAGAGACGGCCTAGCGCCTCCGCTGCCTCTGCTGGTGGGGCCGAGGTTGATGCCGGGAGTGCTCTGCTTTGGGGCTGAGGCCGGGGTCAGGGCTGAAGCCCGCAGGCAATGGACAGGCATACTGCTCAAAGCCCCGCGTCGGGAAAGGGGCCGGGGCTACGCGGGTGGGGACTCCGCACGCTCCCCGGCTGGACCGCCACCGCCAGCTGCGCTGTCGCCGGCCGCCCACTCCGGCTCCCGCGCCAGCTCCCGCCCGCCCGGGGTCCACGCTGTGCCGCGGCACAGGGAGGGAACGCAAGGAGCGAGGAGCAACGAGCAAGCTTGAAAGGGAGGGGTACCGAGGGAGGGAGGCAGCGAGCGGCGGGAGCCAGGCGGGGGAGGAGAAGGCGCGGCAGCACCACCAAGGAAGGGGAGGCGAGGTGGGGGGCTCGTCTCCTTTCTGCGAAGGGGGCGGAGAATGAACAGTGCCCCAACCCCTGCTCTGCACCGATGGAACGCGAAACTGGCGAGGGGCGCGTCCGCCTAGTGCGGGAGCTGACTCCCAGGCGTCCAGCTCTGCACGCAGCCGCGCCTCTCCGAGTCTGGGCTCCAGGCGAATCTCCGGCCATTGCGACCCTCTTGTGTGCGCCCACCCTCTTGAGTGGCCATTTGCGTGTGCACGTGAGCCCATGTGTTCACACATGTTTACTAGGGTCACTGCACACTGCCGTGTGAACGGACACACGAACGTGAATGGACAATGCTCCCCACCCAGCCGGGGTTGTTTGGAGGACGGTGTGGGAAGGGTCAGGCCCAAAGCCTCTCCCCTGCGCATTGTCCCCTCTTCTTGGAAATGTCTGTGAATAGCTGAAGGGCCCATAGGCTGGCGGCCTACGAGCAGGCAGGTAGAAAGCAGCCCCAAAGCAGGGAAGCTCTACAGGATGGCAAGGAAGGCGCACCAGCTCAGTGGCTTTACCCCAAACTGGGTATTGCCCCCCTTTTGCAGTCAGGGTCCCCGCCCAGTCTGGCTTCTTGTCCAGCAGAGGGCAGCAGGCCACTCTGGCCGTCCCTGGCCACGGATACTGCACCCAGTGACCAGCAGATGGCAGTGTAGAGCCTCCATTTGAGCTTGGTGGTCCCTCTCCTTGCTCCCCGAATGTCCAGGGGGTCCTGGGCTGGGACCACGTATTCTGATGGGACCAAGGAATGGGACCTCTCCTCAGACATCCAAATCCTCTTTGACCAGCAGATACAGAGAATCAGCTGGCTGGGGATGTCTTGGCAAAGCATGCAGAGTGGGCTAGGACCCTTGGGAACTCACCACCTTCCACTGTACAGTACCTTCCATCTCCTTGAAGCCAAAAGTCCTTTAACACTAAGCTAGTTTGATTAAGATAACCACTAATGCTGACCGCACCCCTCCCCCCACACACACAGTTGGGAGTGCATTCCTTTATCACACTAGTGCTCCCGACACCTAGGGCCCACAGGTGTAGGGGTTCTGGCAGGTAGAGAAGCTGAGGGGACTGACCCAAGGCCTCTTAGTCTCAAGACAGACTCCAGCATTCTACTCCTAGTACCACCCCCTGCCCCCACCCCAGCATGCCTGACATTCATTGCAGATACCTGGCTGGCGTGGTGCGGCCACCAGTGTCCCCCGATCCATAGTACCATCTTGCTTCTCCACTGTTCAGCCTCACACATGCAGCCCAAGTGTTGCACAGACCTTTTTTTCCCCCAGCTGAACAGATTCTGGGTACCTGTCAGTATCACTGCCACAACACAGCTAGGGACAGTTCTGCCTGGAGAGCCATCTCCTGTCTTCTATGTCTGCGTCCATCTTCATCCTAGGCTTGGCGGGGACCCGCTCCTAGCAGAAGCCGATGCTGTTAGCCGATCGGAACAGCGGATTCACCCTCCAACAACCCTGGGAGGAGAGGCTGTTCCTCCTGTGACAGAGAGTCGCAATCCCAAGCTCAGAGAGATGACTTGATTTGCCTGTGGTCACACAGCTGGTAAATCTGGGCTGAGATAACCAGCAGGGGGCAGGCTTGGCAGAGGGATTTAGAGGTGGGAGGGACAGAAAGGCGATAAAGGAGTCCTCCTCCTTTCAAAAGCTCAGCGACAGCGGCTGCCTGGCCCCGTTCCCAGGCTCCTGGCTCCTCTGCCCGGGCTATTTGTGAGTTACTCGCGAGCTCCCGTCTCCTGCACCGCCTCCTCCCACCAGCCCGGCAGGAATAGACTCTACCTCCTGCTTGAAGGCGCCGCCGGCGCGAGAGCGCAGACCCGCTGGGGCGGGGGCGGGGGCTATTCCTGGTGTGGCGACTGACGCAGGCACGGCGTGGCCTCGGCCCATCTCCTCCCCCGACTCACCTGCTCCGTGCCTCAGTAATCTCAGCAGAGAAATGGGGGAAGAGTCAGATGTCTCCCACCCCGCCCCCAGATGCTGGCTGAGGTAGCTCTGGAGCCCGCAGTGATCCCTTCAGGGTTTGATGGCGGAGCTGTCTCTGGGGGCAACTGCCCAGCAGCCTTAGTTCTACATCGTCAACAGTATCCAAGCTATTTCCCAGTCCCTGTTTCTCCAAAAGAAATGACCTGTCCCAGCATCCCGGGTCTTATTTCACCAGTGGAAATAATGGAGAGGGGAAGGCTCTGGGGGAAGAACTTGGAGAAAAGGCCTTTTGGAGGGCCCAGTCTGGGCTTGGTGAGAGTGCAGGCTCCTGGCCTTATCACCACAGAAACCATAAAAGGGGAACCTGTTACTGGGTCCTCACCCAGTCAGAGCCTCGAATCGAGCCAGGGGGACAAGTATCTCTCCACTCCTGTCTGGTAGGGTTCCCAGGGCCGTGGGGACACATGGGAGTGGCCTGGTCCAGGACTTCAACGGACACAACCAGGGAAGGATGCTCAGGAGCTACAGTTCACCCACACCTCCCAGCCTTTGTCCTTATTGGTCCACCTGTTCAACATGCCCTCCTCTCCCTGTTGCCACTTTCTTCTACTCCTAAGACCAAACTAAGACCATTTTCTTCTACTCCTGTTTCATCCCAGCCTGAAATGGCATTAGAAGAGGCAAGGTTCCAGTCTTCCCTCTCTGTCCTCAGACTGGGGGCTCCCAAGGGCAGTCCTGAGACAACATGTTGAATGGGTGGGCACAGAGCAGATCCTGGCTTTTGGGTGAAAACTCAGCAACTCCCTGTCAATTAAGAGCTGATGGCTGGGAGAAAGAGCCAGCCTATTGCAGTCTGAGTGCTCACAGTAGAGCAGAGAAGCTAGAAAGGGTTTCCAGGGCACTCGGGAGGAGGGGACAGTCCCGTCTAACATCTACTCCACCCCTATGGTAAGCCAAGCACTTTATATATTTCTCACTTCAGGATTGGCACTGCTATCTCCATTGTACAGATGAAAACGCTGAGGCTCTGAGAGGGCTGTTGACTTGCTGAAGTTCGCTCTGTGTGCAAGAGGAAGAGCTGGGTTTTGAGGTTCTGTGTGCCTCTGATGTCAGAGGCCAAGCTCTGTTCTCCCTCACTCTGGGGGGCTGAGGATGCAGGAGGTGGGGCTGGGTCCCCTGAGAGCACAGGGAGGAATGGGCAGCACACACGGGCTTGCCTGTGTGCCTGCTCTGTGCTGGTCCTGCCCACCTGCATCCCAGCAGCTCATGGGGTTTTACAATAATGATTATTTCTGAAGGCACTTGAAATTAATGACAAGCTCTAAAGTGGCTGGGGCAGTGAAGTCACTGGTGAGACCTCTAATTAGCAAGAAAAATGAAAACCAGGAGCCCAGGAGACAGGTGGGGGTTGGGCAAGCAGCAGTGGGCATGGAGAAATGTTGAGGGAGTAGATTGGACCCAGCATCCAGGTGGAAGTCCCCATGTCCCCACTTTATGCCATAAATTTGATCCTGAGCTCTCATTAACTTGCTGTGTGACCTTGAGAGGGTCATTGCCCCTCCCTGGACAAAAGTGTTCCCAGGTATGGAATGAGGTGTTGGCTTGGGGGTCTCTATGCACAGGTCTCTGTGGCCCTGCCCAGACACCAGGGACAGTGGGATGAGACCTCATGTGGGAGCTCCTTGAGTGACCTGAGTCCCTAGAAAGCCGAAGCCCCAGAAGCTGGGGGCCCTGTAGCTTCCAGGAGCCACAGCAGAAGCCCTGCACTCTTGCGGCCCTCCATGCTACTGGTTGCTGAGTCTACTGATACAGTGAAGTCCCAAAGTCTCAGGCTGGAGTCAAGTAGATCAGGAAATGGCAGAAAATCTATAGGTCAGAGCCCCATGCTGGTGTAGCTATGGAGTGGGGCAAGGGATAGGGTCCCCAGAGAGGGATGGCAGGAAAGCCCCCTCCAGGAGATGGGTCTGGAACTATGGCCAGGGTTAGGGCCTTCCTGCCCCCTCTTAACCCTCTGTCCAAGATACAGAAGGGACTCAGGAACACCAGGGTCCCACCTAGGCACGTTACAGAGGGTTGGGGCAAAGTGCCTAAAAGGGAAAGGTGTTACTCAAGGTCACTCATTCAGATATACCCCAGTTCCTCATCCTCCACAACCTGCATTGGGTACCAGCAAAGGAAAGGACACTGGAGTTCAGCTGAACAGATCACCTTTGCACAGTGGCTGGTTCAGCTGGAAGTGGCAATGTGCTGGTCAATATGGAGGGACATCCGTATGGGTACAGGCTGAAGCCAAGACTCCAAGGGCAATGTGTGGAAAGCCTACCCTTACTTCCTTGGGGCACCCTCCTTCCTGGCATTCCCCACTACTGGCATGTCTTGACATCAACAGCTTTCTCAGGCCCTAGACCTGCTATCTTGTATCCTTTCCCCTCCTCCCCTTCAAAAACCAGGGCCCTATGTGGTCCTTTTCTTCCAGAAATTGGCTCTAAGCACCTCAGTCTCCTGCTCTGAGCTGGCCTAGGTGTCTTTGGGCACCTCTCCGAACCTCAGTTTCCTCCTCTGTAAGATGGGAATATCAGTAGAACCCATTTCACAGGGTTGGTGTGAGGATCTCAAGACAATATATATCCAGTACTTGATGCTAGGCCTGGCACACAGTAGGTGCTTGATAAATGCAGATATTTTCATGGTTATTATACCTACTGTTACGGTTGCTGTCTGCCCCTGAACCTGCAGGCTCTCGTCTGTAAAGGCCCTTGTGGCATTCCCACTAGGATAGGCCTCAACCAAGTTCTTCGTCCTTTGAGAATCAAGAAGCCCCTGAAGGCAGGGACTGATCTTGTGTTGCCTCTAGTTTCCACAGAGAGCCCAGACCCCTGATTCCAGAGGGTCTGGTGTGTACAAATTAAAGTTGA